AGAGACGTTGCATAAAACTTTAACCAGTGATTGTTGTTCCATAAAGCTGTGTCTATATATCGTACTCACAATTGCTAAATGCCATTCAAAGACTTTAATCGTAAGTATTGGTTAAAAAAAGCAGTCGCTTCTTTTTTCTGTTTTTGAGATTAACAGCAATAAAAATTATGAAACAGATGCGCTGCTGACAGAAATGCATATACTGTACATGTATCAGAAGCTTCAGATAATTTTTTGTTTCGTTCTTTTTCTGACATTAAAGACACTAAATCTTGATCCGAAAAGTTTTTATGCTATGAAGATTTTCAGCTCAAAGTTTTCTTGACATCAAGTTTTAAGCAAATCTATCCAGGAAATCACAATAAGTGTCTGCAAAGCATGAACAAAAGAGAACAATTGTATGGTTAAATTATATTGCATTTGCACTAAAGTCGAGGTTTTGAAAACGGAACCTAATTTTGCATCACCATTTTCAAAAATATTTGCAGAAGTGTTTAATGATATTTAGTTGGCGGAATTGTCTATAATTATATTCATTTGTTATACATTGCAGCACCACCGGCAACAACTAGTTTAGTACCTATTTTTTCAGTTCTGATTGTTTTGATATTGATTGTAATTATCATTGCCGTTGTGTATAAATTAAGGTAAGAAATGTCTTCAAGAAAAATATCGCCAAAAGAAATAATGTACGAAACTCCCAATAAATGTTTTTAGATGTGTTTTCTTCTCAATCAAAATATGTTTGCATTATAATTGCATATAAATTTAACAATAGTATGTTGCTGTGCTGATGGGTTTGTTATTCGGAAAGCCCTTGCAACTGTTATTTCTTTTTATCTGTCATAGGCCTACAATATAACTTTGTTTAGATACAAGATTTATGGACATTCCGAAATAGTTAAGGCTAAATTATCGTCAATATAGCAATCCGATGCACAATGAAAGTTTTCTGAAATACATGGTCAGCTATTTATTTGTATTTATAGAAAAGGGCGAAAAAATACTCAAGATGGTCGGCATGAACTTGTTAATATTGAGGATGAAACTCAAAAAGGTAGAGGTAATTATGCGTTACGTCAGTTATTATCTAAATATGCTTATTCTGAAGTCTTTATATACATATAATATAAATATTTATATACATTATAGTGGTTTAAAACTGATTCTCAAGTCCAGTAAATTACAGAAATCACAGTAAATACACAATCATACCAATACGCA